TAATCGGCAAGCGCTGTTCTACTTTCATCACATTGGTTAAAAATTTTTCCATATATAAAAGATTTTCTTTAATAAAATTTTCCTCTTCTTTATCGCATACAATATTCTCACGATCTCGCGACGTCGAGAGCATTGCACCATTTAAATCCTCCATGATTGTCAACGCTGATATAAAGAATGAAAAAAAAAACACTTTCAGTATAGGGTGATTAGCCCGAGCTTCTGAGGAAAGCCTCCACTTGTCTTCAAGTATCACAGAACCCACATTTGGAGCACAAAAGAGACTACCACCAGCACATATCAATGACAGATCTAACCACAGTGTTCACGACTAAAGTCACGGCACCATTATGTTGGGGTCATCGTCACACCAACTCAGCCTACATGATCGTATAGGGTCATTTTCACTGATAGTCTTTAATTAAAATCACTTTATTGCACAATCTGTTTCAGTATATACAATCCACTGTAATATACACATTCACGTGCTGGTCAACTGACGAGAAGATGACTAATTAAGTCTCGAGTTTGAGTCTCTGGTTTGAGGCTTTCCTAAAGAGTAAAATGAACAATAATTAGACTTCTAACTAGTAAATACAGTAATGAATATACAAATCAAATAATGGAACACACATATAGTATATACATCGATTCAAATCATTTTCACATATCGCAATTCAATAATACACATCAGGACCTAACACACTACGTACCTCCGCTTCGGGCTTCACACCGCACAATAATCTAGCAGCAACTTACACCTTCCGCATTACGACTTCCGTAAAGTCTAAACTAAAATGGCATTGAGCAATTTCACAATAATTGACGAATCCCAAGTAAAATAACACGTAAGATAATAAAATACAAGCTTATACCTCAACAACCTAATCAATGATTAGAAGAGTTCCATGGACTAGAAATTTAAAAACACAATAAAATGTCCCACATTACCATGATCTGCGGTAATGTGGGTCAGTCCATGCTCCATGGGGTACATTGGGAGCCTTCACCTAATTATGATATAAACAAAATTAACATGAAATTTAAAGTTATAGCTTGTCTATATATTGTTTCGCATATGTAGTAATGAGAAGAATGACATTAATGTTTCCCATATTGACTGATAGAAGGTCAGCTGCAAAGTGATATATAAAATTTTCCAATTTTCCTCCACGATGTATGAGAGATGTTTCATTTTTGCAAACTTTGTATTTTGACTTTGTTATCAAGCCTACATGATATGTCTTTGCTCAATGGAATCGAATCCTACAAGGACGTAATAATTTAGCTTTGGTTCTCTCTTGAATGGTTTAAACGATTCTCAAACCTTTTTCTAGGAGTAATTTTTCGTCTATTCCTTTAGATGAATTATGTAAAATATGGAATTGTACTTCTGATGAAGAGAGCCTGTCATCCCTTTTTCAACGAATATTAGGCGATGTACGGTCAATTTCCTTTTCATATTGGAAGGACTTGGTTTGAAGAATGGGAGGGTCCTGGGACGTGGAAAGTAATCACAGGTTTCACACTCAGGTGTCCCCCTATAGGGACTTGTCTCTCCTCCAATGTTACCAACTTTTACTCCCACGACCTCCCACCACCACAACCCAACACCGACCACATAGATGATGACATAACAAAAATAAATGCAATGCATAACCCACGCAACCACGCAGCAGTATTACCACAACATGCAGGTGTTTCGTTGACACCTAAAGACGGAACTATTTCGTAGAGCCTACGAATCAAAGACTTAGTCATTTTTATCCATTCTCATCCTCTATGGTGTCTTTTATTTTGCGCTAGCTCCTTAACTTATTTGTAACGTACCCTCGAAGTTCTTTTGATCCAGACGCCCCGATAACTGCTTTTACAGTAATAATAATAACACGCCATACAACAAGTCAACACCTTCGAAAATTAAAGGCTCGTTAGGACGTACTCAAATAAGTTTTAAATCATCCCCATCATTACAAGAAAGAGTTCCGATATTTCCTAGGCAACACCTACCATCAATACACGAGCAAAGAAACAGTTTTAGGGTAATATTTCACCACCCACGGCTCTAGCAATGGAGCAATGGCCCCCACAAATTTACATACACAAAATATGGAAAAGGGAAGTACATAAGGACACGGAGAATAGTGGGACGCATCAATTTTTTTTATACATTTAAAAAATACTGAACAACAGTATAAGCAAGTATTAACACACAAGTTAGTTCATGGATTGACGTGGGGGGACACATGTTACCTTGACCTGCATTCCTCAGTGAGCAACATTTTCTTCCAATTTAAGCACACCTAATATTGTTCTTAATGAATTAAATGTAGTACGAGTGCCTATTTTGCGAACTAAAATTTGATTGTCTGGTTGATTGCTACGTGCGTACAAAATTAATTACTTAAGATAAAAAGAAACACTGTTCAGTAATATAAAAATTATTAATCAATAGTGTTTGAGTTGGAGGGTAGTGATCGATGCCTGTGGGACCAGGCCGGCCGTGCTCTCTGTTTGAAAGATTTCAATGCGCACTGTGGTTTTCTATTGGTTATGGGTGGGAAGTCTACTGGGTGGAGTCGGGTGAGGTCGCTGTGAGTATATGGGCGAATGAGGTGAATGTTGTGGTTTACGTGGACTTCTATGCCGAGAATGTGATCGATGTCGAAGTATTTATTGTCTGCGTTATTTCGAGTGAATTTGTTCTGCCTGTGTTTGCGGAAGATGGGTCATGTTGTTTGTTGTTGTGTTGTGAATGTTGTTGTGTTGTGAATGTTGTTGTTTTGTGAATGTTGTTGTGTTGTGAATGTTGTTGTGTGTGAATGTTGTTGTGTTTTAGGTATGGGGCGACTTGTTAGGTAGCGTCAAACATTATTGTGGGGGATTATTTTATCTCAATAGGTCGAAAGTTTAGGCTGAGTCTCTGCCCTGCACCGACAGCGTAAGTCCGAGGGTTTACTTTTTCAATTCTTCAATAAACCAAAAAATCCGCGGTGCTCCCGGAATTAGAGTAGGATCTTTTAGAGAGTTTGTTTAGTTGATAGTTTTGAGAAGCGGGGGGGTGCGGTGATGGTTGAATCATGATAAATTTCGTCGCTGATTTCCTATTTTATTGGATGTTGGCGTTGTCTTCTCACGTTCGAACTTGTCGTAATTGTAAAAAATGAGGTTTTGCCGAAATCTCTGTCGGAGAAATTAGCGTCGATGTCATAATTTGCTTTCAGTTATTTGGAAAGAATCAAGCAGTCAGTTCCAGAGGAACTGACGCGAACTTCTTCGAAGCATAATCTGGTGCGAGTCTATAGTTAACTCAGTTGCTGAATTAGCTGATTGAATGTTTCAACGTCAGATGCCCACTGAATATGTATTCCGCCTCTTTGTATCGTCATATTTTTTTTCTAATCCTCACAAAGACCTAAATCTTCATCCCCGAACTACTTCAATGTTTTTTTGCTGATTCTCACCATCAATTTTATGTTGAAAAGTTCTCCCCTCGGCGCCATCCAAGAAACGCTGGCGGAGGTGACTGCAGGAACGACACTCAAGCGGGTGACTTCTGGAGCTGCCGGGAAATAAAGAACAAATAACTACTCTCTTTGGCACTATAATCTCAATAATCTAAATTGAATGATTTATGAGTGGATGATATTTTGCGTGCATAGGATTTAATGAAAGCGTCCTTTCATTAACTCCCAGATGAAATTCTGATGGCGAATAGAGCGTTTTGATACTTGATACATCTCTGTGATAGACACATTTCGGATTAAGTGTTTCACTTAGAAAATACAGTAACTTCACAAAACAAAAATATTTAACCCATAAAAGAACGTTAATTCTCAATAATAATTTCAATGCCGAACGGAAATTCATTTCTCTTGCCCGGCAGCCGTAGACCATAAATTCAACTCTTATATAAGCCCTGGAGCCAACGTACGCCAAGCTTCAGCAAGCAATAATAATTTATTCAGCCGCAGAACAAGCAGCCTCAGACTATGCTGAAAGTTTATAATTCAGGTTAGTAATTCACTGCTTCATGATAATTGATCCATAGGTCTTCAGCCAATATTTGAGCATTCTTGCTCGGAAGCAGGCATGTCAGTATCAGGCCTCACCCACTCCGGCCTAACCTATTGACCAACAACTTTGAACCAATAACCGTTTCTACCTGCTCTCTTGAAACGACTCTCTGACTTCCTGAAGCCAATGAGGTTAGGTTATGTTAGCTTAGGTTTATTTTGGGTGATTAAATGTTGCAATGTGTGCAGATTAGGCCAGGAGAAGTTAGGTCGGAAGATGTGAGAGCAGATGCAGTTTGACCATGTACAACTTGAGCATGCATAAGCGGTGGCTGCGAAACATCCGGCGCAGTTGACTTCATGGGCTGCTATGCTCTCTGGTAAGATTGTGCACGGAAAGGAATATTTTTGAAGTTCGAATTGGGCAATGCTGGCCTCCGTCATAGGCCCCGTAGTGGCGACAAAGATACACCTTTGATGCACGTTCATGCACGTCTATTGCTATGACTAAGCAATAGGATGTCTAGATAGTACCGCATGGAACAGTTGAGATCGCGTTAGGGCAGTTGGAGTTGGTGATGTGAGCTCCAGCTAAGATTCACGTCACTCTCGAGTCTCGAGTACCACCGCACTACGCGTGCGCCTCACGTACAGTTACAGTAGCGCTCGTTGCAGTATTTGCTGAGATAGTGAGATCATTGTGAAAAAACTGACCGTGGTTTGTGCTTGCACTGCAATTATAAAGAATGGAAAAAACAAGAGGTGGCCCAGAGTGGAAAAATAAATAGAAAAGATAATAAGAGACGAAAAAGCGCTGTACGCACGAGTGGGATGCTGGTAGGTTTTGGAGGTTGTGTTGTTTTTAGATTGAGAAGGGCGGAAACCTTCCAGAGCTTAGGATGGTGTGAACGGTAAAAGAGTGATACTTCGGAATTTATGCTTTGCGCGGATGAGTGAGAGAGGGGATGGTTCATAAATTATAGTACTAACATATTCGAGGACTTTTAATGAAAAATCTAAATGATGTGTACTCTAACTAATGATTTACTATCATGCAGGGTGCGTACCTGTCATGGAAAACCTGGAAAGTAATGAAATTTGACTTTTCATTTCCCAGGCCTGGAAAGTCATTGGATTTCATTCCAGGTCATGGAAAGTCATGGAACAAAATGCGTTTCGCTTTCCTTCAATAAGGTTGATGTTGGTTACATGGCCAGGACCGCGATGAAAAAACAGCTGGCAGACAAGAAGGCAAGTGCACTGCAAGTTACACGAGCGCGGGACTTCATGCAGGCTGTAGTCAAAAAGCTACTGGACATGAGCCCTATCAGGTATGGCCTCGGTAGGAACCTGAGTTGGCTGGTGCCAAAAGTCTTCATCAAGAAGGACTGCATAAAGGAAGCCGACAAAACACAGATGTAGAACTGTCTCACTTTGCTTGTTGACGCCAAGAGATTCCCCCTAACACAGATGTGGATGGTGTTGTAGATGAGATGTGCAACTTTGAAGATGAATCACAACATTGTAGGAAACTGAACGCAGTTTCAAGCATTTCCAACTTCTGATCGACTGGACACTTTTTGGCATGTTATTCTGTCAAAGAGCACCTACAATAAGCTCTGGAATTTAGTGTAGATGCTCATGCTCCTGTCTCATGGCCAAGCCACGAGTGAGAGAGGGGTTTCGTTTAACAAGGAAATCATGACACACAATTTGAAAGAGCGAACGGTGGTTGCCCTGCATGCTGTGGTGATCATGTTGCATGTGTTGGTGGCCTGGACAAAATGACCATCACCAAGAAGATGCTGCTTGCAGCTGGCAGTGCCAAAACAGCCTACAATACTTATTGGGCAGAAGAGAAAGAGCAGAATGCGAAGGCCCAGAAAACCCAGAAGAGGAAGGTTCTGTTGGATGAGCTATATGAACTGAAGAAGAAGAAAAGGCGTACGGAGAAGGGCATCAAGGCGCTTGAGCAAGCAGCAGATGAATATGCAGAAGCAATGGAGAGAAAGGGGGATTTGAAAATCATCGCCAAGTTCAACGCTATGAGGCGATCTTTGAAAACAAAGCAACAGGAACAGGAGCTAGACACTCTTGAACTGAACATTAAGGAAAAAGTTGATGAAATAGCTGCCAGTTGAAAGATAGGGTAGTGGTGTTGAAGAGTGTTCTAAACTGTATTGATATTATCATGCACAATTTTGTTTACATTACTCAATATTTTTTGTGATTTAACACAATTGAATTCATAATAATACCAGTGTGGGCTTGATTTTCAGATATGTGTCATTTTTATTCCTCTGTGTCTGCCTGCTCTATGCATTTACCAGTACGCACCCTGACTATGTTTATAGAGAGTGCCATTTCTTTTATTATTTCAGCGTAACCAAAAAGCATAATTCAAAGTCGGTTTAACAGACACTGATGATATTCCTAATGCCGCAGTTTGAAAACAGAGGTGGACGAATAAATCATGTTTGTAGACAGTGCGGTTAACGTCTCAAGACTTACTTTCATCAACCAATCCCTAAACGCCTGAATTGACGAAATTAAAATCAATAGATACAATGCGCGGTAATTAAGCAAGTTGTCAGTAAAATTATATACGTGTAAATGAAGTGCTCTACTGACGTGGTCGGTTTGCGCAGCCGCGTTCATCGCTGTCGTCGTTGCCACTGTCGGTGCCGCAGTCGTTCGTTCCATCGCAGCGCCACGATGCCGGTATACAGCGGCCATTGTTGGAACACTTGAACAGACCTGAGCTGCAAACGCCTGCAATCGCCAGTAGTTGTATGAATTATTTTCACATCGGAATTAAAATTTCATAATCATGGAATCAATCTTGTGAGATCACAAAACAGTCATTTTAGTATGATAATGTGGAATGTGAGTGTTCTATCACAATATACAGTATCTTGATCCAGATGTTCGTCTCAATGATCTGAATTTTATCAGAAGGCATTAGAGAGAATAAATATGGACAAGCACTGAGTAAAAGTACAAAGAGGGAGTCCATGCAGCTATTGCAATTGTCCTATCTCAATAATCTTATTAAATTCGTAGCCGAGAACCGATTGTTCTTAGATGATAACAAAATTCGTGTTAAGTGGTCAGTGCCCATAGATATAATTATGTACATTAGTTATATCTTAGTCATATTATATCATTTAAACAAATGATAACATAATCACATAAATAATATAATCACAATGAATAAAAGCATGATCTTTATATTCCAAGCGTTACAATTTAAGAAGCCAATATCCATGCCGACCTATTATATAAATTCGTACCCACAGTGACTCGTGATTTGTACCTGCATGAGGGAGCCTTATATACATAAGATCAAATTATGATCTGATTTTCAAACTGATTTGAGCTATAGAGATGGAAATCTCACCAGTTCGAAATTTGAATTTAATGTAAAAACGGACAAATTATTTTAGCTGGATTCATAAGCCCGCGATATGAACATAACCTGGATTCATACGCCCCAACCTTCTTATTGAATGAAACTTGAACCCGAACTGACATAATAAATACGATGCGGAACCAGACTAAAGGCAAGCATGCGAAACGACTGTTGGAAGTTTATTTGGTTTATGTTAATGAAGAAAAATCAAGCATAAAGAACGAAATACTCTCCATCCGAAGGGCTATAAACAACTTCAAAGTGGGCAAGATCGGCCTAAAGGCAGTCTCTTAGCTGGCCCTTTGATTCTCAGACAAACTCTAGATTAAGAGACTAGCGTCTAGACCTTGCAAATCATCTTCGTCGATGTTGCGATGTTCCCCGGGCGTTTCTTCCACGCGTCTCGGAAATGATCTACCCTATTACACATCAGCAAAACGCCTTGCATTTTTGACTGGGAAGGCAGTCTCCTAGTCCATTTATTTTCAGACGCTCTCTAAAATTAAGAGACTAGCGTCTAAACCTTGCGAATCATATCCTATTCTTCCTCTTGTAACACATCAAAGCTTTTTGGATGACGGTGTTTCGCCTTCATCCACTTTCCTTTCCTGAGAACTAAATTTATGCTTGCATAGCACCACCGTCCATTACCATTTGTCGAGACGTTCAATTGAGCTTGCAAATCACCGCATTACAGTTCTCTTTTAGCAATCCATCAAGCGCTTGAAAATCGCCGTATTAAATTCCACTTTTGTAAACAATTATTCTACTCTTGCAAATCACAGCCTTTCACAGTCTTTTTTGTTGGACGCTAATTCCTGCAAACCACCATCTCAAAACTCGATCCTCTGTGCATTAGGATTCGGTTCACAGACAGGTTTAACGGTCGAGACTAGCACCACCTGTTATTTGTTCCCGTCACAGGTGTCATTGTGCGCTTTACGTTATAGGGGACGATTGACTCAAATTTCAACAATCTCGCTCGTCTGGAATCTTTGCTTCCGTCTATTACCATGTGTGCTGATTGGAATAATTCAAATGACGTTCATTCGTGGAATTTAGGATTAGTCAAATGCTCAGGGATATTATGTGTCTACAGTCTACACTATGATGCATGTCGCTTCAGGATACTGTTTTGACTATTCATCTGTACCTGACGCGATTAGGTTTCTAATACAAAAAACGTTTAAATATTCCGCTCTATATCAAAGGCACCTTTGGCATTTTTCTGTATATAATCGGAAATTTTAGAACACTGTATTTTCACCAGTTACCACTCCATTTTGCCGAAAAAGTTTTAGAAAAAAACTTGTATTCAATTATATACCCTGTCGAAGAGCCATGGGCAAAATGTCTTTGTGATAGCAAGGACAATAGGTCCTGACAAAATAATCTTCAATTAATAATTCTATAATCAAATCATTATTTGGTGTCAGTAGACTGTTTTAAGTAAGTAATATTTAATAGCAAAAACACTTCAGATAATCGAGCAAAATATTTAAACTAAAGCACCTTCATCATACACAGCCACTCTAGCAAATATTTTGCTTGTGATAAGTACATCGACTCATGATATTCACAGAGGTGGGCAGTAGCGGTAGCGGTAGCGGCTCTACATTTAAGGCAATGTAGCGGTAGCGGTAGCGCCCGCTACATATATAAGTAGCGATACGAGGTTTTGCCGCTACAGCGCTACCGCTACATTTATAGATAAAGCCTTTAGATTTTACTTAAGGGGACCGGCTACCCTCCAACAAAACTTTTTTGTTTACAGACGGATCGTTTTGAAACTTGGCACGCATATGTAAAACAGAAATCTAAGACCTTTTTGTTCATGTAAATTAAAAAAAAATGAAGGAAAACATGGAATTAATAGAAAACGGCATATAAGAGGTACTCTAAAAAAGTTGAGAACTTTTGCAAATCACATGCTACAATGTCGAGACACATATCATTCGATTTGTAACAACAATATCTAGCGACTGTAGAGCCCCGATTTTTTATTTTCCTCATCGTTTTTTTTCGCGGTCTTCCCATTTTTTCACATTTTTACCCCCCACGTTCCTCCCCCTCCCATATATAAGTCAAACCATGCACATATTAAAAAAAAAAGCTTCTAGAGTCGCTAGGTATTTTTTTTTACAGACCGAATGGTATGTCTCTCATTGCCGTAGCTTGAAAACTGTTGTAGTTATAATTTTTTTTTAAGATGGCTTTTTTTGGATTTTTAAATTGTTCAGGGGAGCCAAATAAAGTAAAATTCATTGAAAACAGAAGAATATGCCCAAAAAGTCTTGATATTGTAGCCCAAGCTTTCCCATTGCCAATTATTTGCATTCAAGGTACCAGCACGCGTCTTTAGACCTATTTATGTTCAATTTAACGTGAATAATAGGCTATAAATGGGACTTTTTATAGAAATATATATATATAAAATATTCATTTTACATAACCTTACAACTGCATTACGCAAAAACTATTGCATGAACATCCGTGGTAGTAGCTTTGTTAAACGCGTCATGTTTGTAGCTTTCAAACGAGTGCAAACACTTTGCAATTGACCTAAATAATGACCTATAAATACCATTTATTTGTAAATAATGACATAAAATGATAATTTTTCAAAAGTTCAAGACTGCATTACACAAAAAGTATTGCATGTACATCTATGGTAGTAGTTTTGTTGAACGCGTCTCGTTTGTAGCTTTCAAACGAGTGCAAACACTTTGTAATTAACGAGAGTAATGATCTATATATACAGATTTTTTTCAAATAAATCTTTGTACATATTGTTAAAAAAATGTGCATATATATATTTTAAAATTGTCATACGCAAAAATTATAGCACGCACAGACATGCCGTAATCTGCGTTAGACGCGCCTTTTCTATTGTAGCGGCTAATGTAGCGCGCTACATTTTACTGTAGCGGTAGCGGTAGCGCCCGTTACAATCTAGTGGGTGTAGCGGTAGCGGTAGCACCAGCTACATTTAGAGCATGAAGCGGTAGCGGTAGCGCCCGCTACATTTAGAGCATGTAGCGGTAGCGGTAGCGCCGCTAAATTTCCAAGTAGCGCTGCCCAGCTCTGGATATTCAACTACCAACACTTCATTTTAATATGAACCTGATACTCTCCCGGTACTCCTGATACTGTGTCATAAACCGAATACATAAAATGATTCACGATACTAGATGTGTACTCACAATGTTTTTCATCACTCCAGTCCCCGCAGTTATTGACGAAGTTGTCACACACCAAACGCTGCTGGATACATCTACCGTTGTCACACAGGAAGTGGTTGCCGGTGCAGCCTACGATGAACCAAAGAAGCTGTTAACTTAACTAACTGGAAACCAGTCAAGCAGATAGAGCTCCAGTATAACACATTACAAAAGCATGCAGGAAACAGTATCAAGAGAATTGAAATTTTTCTTCACTCTTCTTTGGTTAGTACAGTGTGACAGCTGGAAAGAGATTTAAAGGCAGAAATTCGCAATTGCTTTATTATTTTTAATGTTAGTAGTAAGAAAATGAGCGCAACGGCTCAGTTAGGGAAAATGGATTAATCTGCCTTCTACTGACTTTTTGAGAATTATCATTAACAGGACTAACTTACTTACCCATAATTCAGCTTATCCAACCTTTTTGACCCATTTAACGCAGCACCAGCCCAACTAAAATGAAAAACTAAAACGGAGAACTGTTGGAGTTGGACTCAGTAAACATATTGCTTAGCTAACCGTGCATTAGAGACCAAATAAAATATCAAGTTGTGATGTAAAATCGATTTGGATTTATGGAAAAGTCTCCAGAATACATCATTATTGATCCTCGCAGAGTTATAAGATATTTTGTTGAGTCCGTTGCATGGTTTCTGAAATTTTACAAATGACATAATTCTAAGAAATCATATCGATACGAATTTTTCTCATCAATAAAATGCAACTCGAATAGAATCATAAATTAGAATTCTATCTTCTGTTAAAATGTGGCAAATTTGCGACAAATAGATGACGCTGCAGTAATTGTGTCTTCTTCGAGGCCAGAAACTATTAGTAGTCATATCGTGAGATTGGAATAAACTTCTGTGGATCTGTTGCACTCGGATCAGGTACAGGCGCAGTATTTTCGAAACATTTGATTGAACGCTTTTTGGAAACCGTTTTGGATATTTTACGAAATTTGTCAATGTTTTCATTGGCATTAAAAATGATTGACGGATTTCATATTTATTGTATACTAAATCGGTAGCGTTGCTTAAAATTTTTTGTTCACTTTGAATGATTGACCTTCTTTAAGGGAGTTCTTGAGCTCTTGAGGGTGTTCAGGTGTTCTTGATTTTCTCTAATGCCGCATCAGAATCCCTGTTTTGATTGGTGTTATGGTTTCTCCGGCTGTCTTAACTTGACAGTTTTGGCACAAAGTAGGCGCATTTGCATAGCGATGTGCATATTGCCATCATTGACCTTGTAAAAAGTGCGACAAAGTTCGCACCGACTATTGGCATGTTTTTTTGTCTCAATCGCCTTTTCAATCTCAATTCGTCTGTCCTCAATTGTCGCCTGTTATTTGCCACTCAACAAATTCTTAGATGTCGCTATTGAATTGTGGCATGTAGCAAGGCCAGAGAAAGCCCTTCCCCATCTCACGACATGTCTAGTATTGTTATGTTACGTGTCGTTATATCTCTCTCGTATCATTTCACAATAACAGGGCCACTTTTTAGCGCATTTTCTCATTTATGGAAAAATGCACTATTGTGCTCGCCATGTCCGTCTGTCTGTCTGTCCGTCCGTCCGTCCGTCCGTGACCTCAAGTTTTCGTCGAAGAAAATGCGCTCTCTGTCACTCACTGCTGTGAGTACCGAGTTATATTTTTATATTACGGGACAGAAGTTTTGTCCTGTTTCATATCATTATTTCGTGACAATTTTTTCGCTGTTTCGTTATGTTTTTTTTTGGAAATTGCTCGGCTCGTCTCGTTGCCCAAGTTCATTTCGCGAAAATTTTACCGAAACGCAGGAGCCCACTTAAAATTAAGTTTGAATAGGATTGATCAGAAAATGAAGATTGATGAAGTGGATTGACAAAATCAGAAAAATATTCATTTACTTATAACGCTGAATTGGCTTGAACGACTGAATGACATTGACAGAAAAACGTAAATTATGTTGGTTTAAACCCAATATGCAATTGTTCCAACTTCACTGGACTTCATGAACAAATATAATCAAGGACAAGAAAAATCATGAGCTCAAACAACAAGATATTTGTCATTGAATCAAGTACGCCAAACACTGATAAAATCTCAATATTTTAACGTTGTGATAGAACAAATTTGAAGAGTTTAGTTTGAATTTATCCCAATATATTGTGTCCTGGTATGAGTAAAAGCTCATCATATGCACGCATGAAAGCCTGAGTATTAGCGCGAGATTGCGTTTGACTCAAAAGGCTACTCACAGTCGCGCTCGTCGCTGTCGTCGCCGTCGCCGCAGTCGATGAGTCCATCGCACCGCCATCGCTCGCCTAAGCATCGGCCGGTAGCTTTGCACTTGAACTCATCAGAGCGGCACTCGCCTGCAACAACATTTATTTGGTAAATTAAATTCAGAGCCAAATTACAAGGGACAAACTGGAGATTATGTCTTTTAAGATTAAACACTATTTTTTGCAGATCAATGCGTTCACTTTGATGTACGCATGTGAAAAGTCTTTCAAGCTATGTTCTGCTCAGTACGATTATTCAGCTTAATAATCTGATGCTAATTCAGCAAACATGATTGATATTTGAAGATAAATTTATTATACATTGAATAAAAAAATTATTAAACTTGACTGATTCTTCCTGGGAGACCTTTCAAAAATTGGCTGTACAAGATTTTACTGGTACTGATTCGAATATAAACATTTTAAAGAAGTGAAGCGTTAACCCGCAATAATAGACAAATTAACACACCGGTGAGGAAGGCAATATTAGATGTTAGGCAACATAATACTATGGGGTTGTTTCTCTTCTGCAGGCCCTGGGGAATTGGAAATCATAGAAGGAGGGATGAACTCCGAAATGTATCTGGGCATTCTTGACAGATGTTTCGTGAGGTCGGCCGAAAAATTGAACCTTCCTCGAGATTGGATGTTCCAATAATACAAATAATACGGGTAGGGCAACTCATTGGGGGCATTGTTTCAGGAGAGGGACATTGAGAATTTGAGTTATTGGAATATCCGAGCCAGTCACCTGACATCAATTCGATTGAAAATCTGTAGCGGGAATTGAAATTGAGGGTAGAGTGAGATCCAAGAAATTTTATCCAATTGAAAGAAATATGCAAGGAAGAGTGGGCTGAAATTTCCATTAGCATATGTGTTAATCGTGTGAACAAGTATTCCAATCGGTTAGAATAGAAGCAGTTTTGGCTGCCAAAGGTCACATTACAGTATTGATTTTATATAATATGAGTTGGAAACTTTTGAACCTCTACCACGTCTAGTGAATATTACGTCTCAATTATAACGAATATAATGAGGCCCCTGATTGACACCAGACAGTTTACGCTTTTAAAGAATTGTTTCGCTCTACCTAAACTCCAGTACGTCCTACGTGCGTCTCCTGCATATACGCGGGTAGGTGATTTGGAGCGGTTCGATGAGGTGTTGGTTTCTGCCCTCTCGACCATCACCAATGTCGGCTTCGAGCGCGAATCTCTTGAACAAGCTGTGTTGCCGGTCCGGCTGGGAGGCCTGGGTATCCGTATGTCAAAGGACATCGCGCTCCCTGCGTTCATATCGTCACTCCACTCCGTCCGTGGCCTAGTTGATGCTGTTTTACATAATGTACGACTGGCCGGGGACGACAGTTTGCAGGATGGCGGTGGATGAGTGGCGCAATGGGAACGCAGGTATTGCTTTGCCCGAGGACGCGAGTTTGGGCCGGCAGAGACTTGGGATGGGCCTGTGGCCGCGGCCTCCGCGGCGCGGCTTTTGGGAGCGGCGGACCAAATATCCAGGGCTCGTCTACTTGCGGCGGCGAGGAGAGAGAGTGGCTTGTGGCTTCACGCTATTCCTTCGATGCTCTTGGAACACTTCTAGATCCCGACTCCTTCCGCGTCTCAATTGCTCTTCGAGTTGGCGCAAATGTATGCGAACCCCACACTTGTCGGTGCGGAAAGCGGATGGATGCACGAGGGCTGCATGGCCTTTCTTGTAAGTACAGCGCTGGGCGACATCCAAGACACTCGGCTCTGAACGATGTGATCAGGAGGGCTCTTCAGAGCGCTGGCGTTCCTTCATGCCTTGAACCCGTTGGAGTGGACAGAGGGGATGGTAAGAGACCAGATGGCTTAACGGTTTTTCCGTTTTCTAATGGGAGGTGTTTGTGCTGGGATGCAACCTGCGTCGACACTTTTGCTGAGTCGCACGTCAATAATTCGGCTAATTCTGCTGGGTTCGCGGCTCGTGCGGCGGAGGATAGCAAGAGACGTAAATACGCGGCGTTGGCAGCTCGGTATCGTTTCGAGCCAGTCGCATTAGAAACGACGGGCACATATGGTGAAACGACTGGTCCTTTAATATCGGAGATTGGCCGTCGCATTACGGAATTGTCCGGCGAACGTAGAGAGACTCTATGGTTGGAGCAAAGGTTGGGTTTGGCCGTGCAGAGAGGCAATGCAGCTAGCATCGTAACAGCAGTCAGAGAAAGGTTCGACGTGGGCCCGCTCCTCGCTCGCGTCACAGCTCAGTGACCCTCGGAGTCGGTGTAGGCCACCATCAGAGGCGTTAAGGTCGGGGCCCTGATCATTGACATGAAACCATTCACTGTTTTTAATTAATAAAATCAATTCTTTTTTTTTTGTTGGAGTGGTGAGTGTGGGAGGCCTTTAAAAAAAAAAAGTTGCGAAGAGATCTCCTAGAGCCTGGGCTATCTGTTGTTGCGAAGAATTATCATGAACCCGTTATGTCTTTTGCTAAGAGAGCCCTAGGAGCCGGTGATGTCTGTTGCGAAGAGATTACCAAGAACCCGTTATGTCTTTTGCTAGGAGGGCACCAGGAGCCAGTGATGTCTGTTGCAAAGAGACTATACCAAGAACCTGCGATGTCTGTTGCGAAGTGATTACCGAGAGAATGATTTTTCTACGAAAAGATAACCAGCTATGCTCGCAAAGGAAAACCTGTAGTAACGTGATACCCTAATAATTGAATTCGAAAAAGTTGGGAAAACCAACCTGTAATTTTCTGGCCTGCAACCGTAGTAGTCGTGGTTGCCAGCAACAGCAGCAGCTGCAACGGCCAGCAGAGGCGGCTCGTGCCCTGAATAGCAAATGACGCTGTAATGAGACAAGTAGGCGATGACCTCTACACAGACTACAGACAGGGGTCTCCTGTAAAAGGGAGACCGGGGAACCCCAACAACAACACAGACTACAGTGCACACGTTCTAAAAGTTCCAGAAATACATCGTCAGGAAGCCCATTGAATGAAATTTCAAATAACTACCAGCGTCCATATGCACAATGCACAGGTTACCACATAGCAGACACATTGGCGCTAGTAACGTCCGCATAATTGATAGTCTCGAGTGGCTCAACTGTCGAGGATACCAACTTCCTTTAACGCCGCGGCCACTCTATTTGGCATGTGAGCGACATTCCTTTCTCCATCGGTGCCGCAACTCTATTGAGCAAGGGGGCGGCATTTCCCACTCTATCGCCGAGGTCACTCAAGTGGTTATGGTGACCTCTTAATCGTTGCGGCCATTCTAGTTAGTATGGGGGCGATATTCCCTCCTCTGTCGCTGCGGCCACTCTAGTGGGCATGGGGCAACATTCTCCTCTCTATCGCTGCAGCCACTACAGTAGGCATGGGGGCGGCATTCCCCTCTCTATCGCTGAGGCCACTCAAGTGGGCATGGACAACATTCCCCTCTCTATCGCTGCAGCCACTCAAGTGGGCATGGCATGGGGGCAACATTCACCTCTCTATCGCTGCGACCTCTCTAGTGGACATGGGTGCAACATTCCCCTCTCTATCGCCGCGGCCACTCTAGTGGTTCAACTCACCTTCATAGCGCCAGGTGGCTCCTGGTGCTGGTTGACGAACTCGAGCTGATAAATTAGTTCTGATTTACTGGCAGCTACTACTATTCAAAAATAGTAGATTAACTGGATTTGTATGAAATAAAGAACCAGAATCCTGGTATGAAAATATGAAACGCGCCATGCCTCTTGGAGGCCCAAGTAACTCGTAACAATCAAGACATACACGCGACAGGCGCGACACACACAGCACTCAAGTGCCAGCAACTCAAACTTTCTGCAGTCAAGTGCCAGCAACTCAAACTTCCTGCAGTCAACTGCTAGCAAGCCAATTTCCTCTGCAGTCAACTGCTAGCAACTCAAACTTCCTATGCAATCAACTGCCAGTAACTCAACTTCCTGCAGTCAACTGCCAACAATCCAATTTCCTCTCCAGTCAACTGCCAACAACTCAAACTTCTGCAGTCAACTGCCACCAACTAAAACTTCCTCTATCTATAGACAACTGTCAGAAACACAAATTTCCTGCAGACTGCTGCCAGCAAGTCAAACTCAAACTGCCTGCAGTCAACTCTACCAACCCAAACTAAACTTTCTGTAGTCACGTGCAAAGTATCAGCTGGAATCAAAGTGACAGTTTGAATAGTAGTCATATATGATGCCAGCTGGTACAATAGTCATTTTGGATGCCAGCTGAGACAATCATATTTGATACCAGGTACTTATATCATTAGTCTGCTTATTTCGCAAGTTCACAAGGAATTTAAAAGCAAAGAAAACGCCAAGAAAATTCACCATATCGATATTGAAAACGTAACTGATGATGGAGCTGGACTCCGAAACGTTTTCAATATCGATATGGTGAATTTTCTTGGCGTTTTCTTTGCTTTTAAATTCCTTGATACCAGGTGAAACGGTATTCAAGTTTGATGCCAACTGAAACAGGGTTAGATGCTGGCTGAGACATAAGTCATGTTCGATGCAAGAAGACGAAACGATAGTCATTTATGTCAGCTGCGACAAAAAACTTTTTGAATCCTGCCAATAAACCATCAAATTGCTTCCAACAAACCATCTGAATAATTCCAAAAAATCATTTAAATTCATCCAACAAAACATCAAAATTCATGCAGCAACTATCTAAAAGCGTTCAACAAACCATCTAAATGAAAACAAAACTAACTAAATGTATCCAAGAAACCACGTGAATGCCTTCAACAAACCATCAATTGCATCAACTAAACCATCTAAATGCATACAGCCAACCATGTGAATGAATCCAACAAACTACATATTTAAATTCATAACATAACCGATCTAGATGTATCCAAAAAGCCATGTGAATACCTACATCCAACAAACCTCCTAAATGGACACCGCAAACTATCTAAATTGATCCAACAAATCATCTAATGGCATCCAACAAACCATTGTAGCGGGACAACTACGCTCAATACAATGACCTTACTGGGTCTCTGCCCACGGGCCTTAACGTACGAGGATAACTTATAAGTGATCAGTGAATTTTCAAAGGCCACAAGTTAAATTTTTATATATTAGAGAATCTGCGGCCACAACACAGGATTATAAACTAAATGCATAGAAGTTTACAACTGCAGACATTTTACAAATATTAATTACAGATATTTACAGACATTGCAAAGTGCGGTTCGTCACGCAAAAGTAGGCTGCCTACTCAAAATCAGCTGCTTTTAGAGAAAACTAGCTACGCCTACTTTTTCTCTTCAGTCTTTGTTAGAGAGGTGCGGCAGCTGACGAAAACTAATAGCGTTTAGCTACACCATTAGAGTGCATCCAACAAATCATCTTATTGCAGCAAATGAAGAATCGAAATGCAAACAACAAACTATCCCAACTGTTTCAAAATACACGCGAATGCTTGCGGCAAACTACCTAGTTTGCCGCAAGCCTGTAAAGCCTGTATATAAATCCTGTAAATTATAATTGTAGGATTCCTGTAAAGCCTGTATAATTCCTAGAAAGCCTGTATATAAATACATCATAACCATCCAATTGCAACCACAAGCCGTCTAGATGCATGCAGCAAACCATCTACATAAATGCATGCAACAAAACGTCTAGTTTCATCAATCAAATCATATGCATGCCTACAACATACTATCTAAATGCATCAAACGACCCATCAAAATGCATACTGCAAACTATTTGAATGCATCCAGCAAACCATGTGAATGAATCAAACAAATCATCTAAATGAATTTGCTAAACAATCCAAATGCATAAAACAAACCGTTCAAATCCATTCAAAGACCATGCGAATGAATCCAACAAATCATCCAAATGCCCACAGCAAACTATCTAAATGTATCCAACTCAAAAGTAAAAGTTCACAGAGTAATATTTATAGAAGCAGATCGGGGATAGCTAGGACACTGTCGTAGTTATAGAAGCAGATCTAACAAGCCTAACCTATCCACAGGGCACTTGGTTAACCGTAAGCACGAGATCCTCCAGATGAGAAGGTGGTGTTCTTATCTAATTACAGCTTCCACCAGCGTGTTGGTGTGGCTCGTACTCACACCATTCAAACTCCTTGTGTCTCGAGAGCAGATACCTCCCGCGTTCGGGTGCATTTGTCCGCGTTTCGGTGTGGCTCGTACCCACAGCACTTGCTCCTGCACGGTTTGTTGAGGCTCGTACCCTCGTAAGCCACTTCCTTGGCCATTCCGCGTTTAGGAGTGGCTCCAGTCCGCATACCTCACTTTTCTCAGTAGATCGTATCCTGGTATGCTGCGACTGGTTTTTGGCGTGTCAGCGTGGCTCGTACCTTCATCACTCGTACCTAGTCCACTTTCTTGTTTTGGTGTGGCTCGTAACCACATAACTCGCCTTTCTCACAGCGTGTCGAGGCTAGTACCTTCGGCAGCTGTGACTGCTTGTTGGCGTTTCGGCTTTGCTCGTACCTACGACGCTCACTACCTCGTGTGTCTCTGATACTCGTACCCTCTCCCCGAATTTACATTATAATTCAAATTTTTACAATGTCGATTGTCGCGTATGACTAGAAGTGTCTGTTCCGATTGAAGAATTCCTATGTCTTTGTATGAAGACTCCTATTCACTACTTGAAGATCATCAGTATTGTTGAGCCTTAAGTTCTTACCGTACTTTTGTAATAAATAGTTCGTTTGGTGCGTGTGTGTACTCAACTAAATTATAGTCGATTTCGATCTACGTAGTTGATTTTTATTCAATGCATGGGCGCCAATACTCCAGTTGGTGACGAGCCTCGTCTTAACCAAGTAAACAAAAAAATATTTCCTTTTGTTTGAAGGAAATATTTGTTATTTCTTCTACTTGTGATGATGTCTTGGCTATTTACACTCGTATTTAGGCTTTACTATGGGTTAAGATTCAAAATAAAGTATTTTATTTAGCTTGTTTATCTTAAGTTCAGTACTAAATTTTACGCTATTATTTTTACTATTGTATCTGTTTGTTTCACAACAAGCGATTTTAAGTAGAAGTTACGGTAGGGTCGCGTATTCAAATACTTCAAAACGATCGAATGCACCTAAAAAGTATTATATACAACGAAGGTTCCCCTCGTATTCACTTCAACCCCCTCTCAACGCAAAGGAGTTTAGAGCTCAACTAAAGCGTCGCTCTCTAGCCCTCGCGTTCTAATACGCAAAAATTCTTCGAAGTCGGACCGCTACCTTAACAATTTCTACTTTGCGGAGGTGTTTCCGGTTACACTTACAACAAACTATATAAATGCATACCAACTAACCATCTACTTGCATCCATTAAAATATCTTAATACATACAGCAAGCCATCGAAAAGAGACCAATAAACCATTTAAATTCATCTAATAAATCATCTGAATCCATCCAACGAAACCATCTGATTGCATCCGACGAATCATCTAAACGCATGTAGCAAACTATCTACAAGCATCCAATGAACCTTATAAATCCATCCAACAAACCATCTGATGCCATGCAACAAACCACATAAATGCACACAACAAATTTCAAATGCATCAATAAAAACTGAATCCAAAAAATTATCCAAATGCATCCCGCAAAAAATCATATTGCATTTGGCAAACTATTTAAATGTATACTTCATACCATCTGACGGCAATATTTTTACGTAATTGCACAAAAACAACTAGCACACCTGCATTTAAATGCAACGCATTGCTCAATTGCACCGCAATCCGCCACTTGCACCGTAATCCGCCACTTGCACCGCAATCCGCCACTTGCACCACAATCCGCCACTTTCACCACAATTATTGGTCACTTGCACCACCATCCGCCACTTGCACTGCCATGCTTGCACCGCAATGCTTTAGTTGCACCGAACTCTCCCCCTCGCACTGCCTTGCCACACTTGCACCGCACTGTTCCTATGCAACACATAAGAGCACGGCCTCGTGTAGCTGTAATCAGCATCGCGACCATCCGTGGGCGCCTCCCGCCACTTCCGGTGATTGTGGAGGCCACTTGAAACCCTCGTCTTTGCAATTAACTTGTGCATAAACTCTTTAACTTGATTCTTATGAATGAATATTAAGTACGATGATGAAGTTGAAAGTATACAGTCAGAATGAAAGCCTTGAGTTCTTTCTAGATGTGTAATTATTTTGAAAAATTAGGGAAGCCCATGAACACAATAAAGACTGCATTGAGGATAAACGTTGAAGTGAACTTTACAAATAGAATAGAAATTACAAATGGGAAACAAATTTGCAATTCCCTATGAATATTTAAGACATTGACAAATTGTACATATGAATTAAATTTTTAAAATAAGAAACAGTTCGTTAATTTTTTTTTGGCCTACCAATACCTCGAAATTAAATAAAGATATAGATTCTTTGTGGTTGCTAACAAATGAGAATGAAAGTCTTTATTTTTAGATGAAGACATAATGACCAATGACTACTTGACTGTCAGACCAGTCGTTTCTAAATATGTTTTACAACACTTCGTCCTGTATATTTATAATACACCTGTACAAAAGTTTGTATGAAATACACGACTGTCAACTGATTGGTTCCTGGAAATAGAAAGATATTCCTCAAATTCCTTTATTTGGACTATAAAACTTGAGTAAAATGAAGCTTTAAAAAACTTAGATCGATTAGTAAGCATGATTATTAGGTCAGCATATAAAGAGCCTTCGCCATCATTTCTTTACCCTGCGGTGAAATGATATATAAAAAGAACTATTGATACGATTAGTAGGCCCATAAAGAGCCTTCCTAATTAAGTAAATGATTCACGTCAAAATGATACCGCATGACCTTGTGTCAAGATTTGGACTCCCTGGTCAAAAAAGCTGCGCTGGTGCGCCCCCTTCATCGTCCTCCGTCCCAAAGCCGTCGATAAGCTGGTCAACCCGCCACCGTGGCTCGAAGGTAAAGTTAAACGTGACTACCGTGCATCTCATTAGAGCCAGCATATGTTAAACGCTGTTGCTTGCCTCATACCGAGGGCAGTGGGCCATAAACAGACGATCAGGGATCATGCTCGAAAACGCCTGCAATCGTCCCTTAAATTTCTCAAGGGTGAGTGAATTCATCCATCTCAGTGAACGCTGCGACGCCGTACAAGTACAAGTGAAGAGTTTGATCCCACAAGCAGCCGTTTCATCATCAAGTGTTAGCAAAGTATTGGGCTCCAAGGCAATAAGGGCTTGCTTTAACCTAGGAACGTACTTCAAGCGGTGTGAAATCTAAGGCTGAAAGACGAACGTTATGTGAAGCCATTCGTTGAATGACGAAAGTAGACAATCCACGAGGTCTTGAATCAGTCTACCAGTGAAAATAAATTTAACTTGATGTTCGAAATGCAATGCACGGTAAAACTTTTCATGAATGTAAAAACTTTCCTATTTACGTTCACGTTTTGGAAAAGATAAACTTAAGAGTTCTCGTTAAATAGTTTTGAGTGTCTCTGAGTATGCTAAAATTATGGCTTTAATGAACTAGTAACTGTGCTCACAAAATTGGCTTCTCACTTTTTGCTGTTGATTTGAACGCATTGTTTTATATCAAAAGACGTTTTTTATCCTTGGCCAAATTCTAAGACAAAACTTCATTTGCTTTTTCTTCGAGTTTGAAATGTTAAAGCTACCGGTATCATTTTAACAATGTTTTGTGAGTAACCTTCGCGTTCAGAATTTCACTGATCAGATTCTCAAATAAATCTAAATAAGAAAGACAACGGAAGGATAAATAACGGAAGAATAAAAAAGGTTAGCGCTTAGCGTAGAAGTTTCAAACAGTTTCTACTTAATTAGAGCCTCTGGCAGGGCGACATGAATGAGATCATATTGTCATGAAAAAGCTTTGATATAAGGTCAGCAGATGGTCCTGGCATTGGTTCACTCGTCGCGGAAGAAGTCCATAAGTTTTTGCTCCTATCAGGAGTTCACGGAACGATTTTTCTCGGGGATGACATGGAGATCTTAGCAGAGGTAATTCCTGTTAGACGAGTAATTCCAAGAGTATGTGGGGGTATAATTTAATTTTATTCGCTCCATCTCAAAATATGTTTACGGCCAGGGATTGAAATAATAAAGTAATCCATCAAGATTAATTATGGCAGGGTGGCCCAGTGGTTACAGTTCAGAGTACCATGATTGGCGCAGGGAGGTGCGGGTTCGATCCCAGCTACCTGCGACAGTTTCTGGTCAGAATCGGGTAGGAGGCCGGGCGGTTAAGCACAGCAGATTTGTAGCACTGAGTTGCGAGTTCGAGACCGCAAATTGCTGTGAATGTTCTGCGATGTTAAGAATCGGCGACAGGCCTACGGCCTAATAAACGCTGAAACCGCTAAAGGAGCTCACAACGTTGACATCCACATTTAGGATTTGAATGAGACAGAATCAAAAAGAAGAAAAGGCGAGATATATAGGGTTGGCTAACAAGAACGGTTAATTGAACTGGAGCCAAGCGATATTAAGCCCTCGCGACCTGCTTGATGATGGCGGCCATTGGAAGAACAAGGAGACAGGAGCACGTAGGATGACGATCGAGGTGTCAAGGGAACGTGGCATGATCAGGCGTCAGGGACACGTGTGGCGTGCGGTAGCTAGAAGCACGTGAAATTGCACGTAGCGTAGAAAAAGCCCATGGCGTAGCAAGAAGCACGTGGCGTAGAAAGAAGCACGTGGCGTAGCAAGAAGCACAGCATAGCGAGAAGCACGTGGCGTAGCAAGAAGCACGTGGCGTAGCAAGAAGCACGGCATAGCGGGAAGCACGTGGCGTAGCAAGAAGCACGTGGCGTAGCAAGAANGGCGTAAGCAAGAAGCACGGCGTAGCGAAAAGCACGTGGCGTAGCGAGAAGCACGGCGTAGCGAGAAGCACATGGCGTAGCAAGAAGCACGACATAGCGAGAAGCACATGGCGTAAGCAAGAAGCACGGCGTAGCGAAAAGCACGTGGCGTAGCGAGAAGCACGGCGTAGCGAGAAGCACGGCGTAGCGAGAAGCACGGCGTAGCGAGAAGCACGGCGTAGCGAGAAGCACGTGGATTTGCACATGTTGTAGTAGTGATGTTACAAGGGCAGTGACCACGATGCTTGACGTGATGTGCTGTGAAGTGGAATTCAGTTAATATTGAACGCACGATTTGAGTTGACAAGTAACCAAGTAAACATGTGAGCTAAAGGCTGGCATTTAATTAATGACTGTGTGGGTCGAGTGCTAGTCATTAATCACACAGTGAGCAAGATTAGAATTGAAAAGAAACCGACGATGGAAATTTATTGCAGCGTAAATTAAGAACAAGGTGTTCATTAAAAATAAATATTAAACTATGGAAATATAGTGAATATAACACCCTTTCCAACGTGAGCACCTGTTGAAGAGTAGATCTAATAAATAATTGTCGTTTAAGATGTATTGAGGTATAATAATTCAAATAATACAGTATACCATTTATTAAGAAATTAAAAAGCAGGTTTAAAGGTTTAAGTACTATTAGAGCTCAAACTAGCCTGCTGCGGAGATCTGCTGAATGCTAATGACTAAATAGAAAATTGTGTAAGCGATGTTAACTTCCTAAACGGTGTTGCCAAGGTAGAGGGAAAATTAGAATTTTATTAGAAAATAAACTCGTAAAATGCGTAACACTATAACTGGAATTGAAGTCCTGCACTGTTTGAAATGCTTTGAATCAGAATTGAATATCCAGGAATGAAATGTAAGCGGCTAATAAATTTAATAGATGACAGTTATGGTATGAAGGTTAAATTCACATTTTACATCCTTGCCATGTTTAGTCTGATAATGAATGAAAAATGACAATTAAACTCAATAAGGATTTGATTGCAAAGTCTAAAATCAACAATGATTTGAGAATTTTTTGTGCCGGTGAACTTATCAGTTTTTTCGCATTAGAGAATAATTTCGTAAATCGGATGATATTCTTACAATAAATTTTAATTAGATGATCATAAACGTATCCAATTCTGTATGATATTGTTACATCATGACGTCGAAAATTGTAAGCATTATCTCGCTTCTGATAGTTTTAGACAAGCAGCAAGTCATGCATATGCCTCATACCCCATAGACCATAGTACCGAGGTTCAAACCTACCACATTGCATTTTACACGTAAATCGTAAAATAACTTCAAACATTTGTGTCATCAATAAAAATTTTGTGAAAGATATTGGGTCACAGCCGGTCACCTTAATCCTAGATATACGATTCTTGATGTATTTATACACTCTTTTAATAACTCAGTCAATGACACAATGATGATTGGGATGACAATTGAGTTTATTTGAAGCACATCTTAATGGATTGAAATGGCCATACATATGATATGCCATGTTATGCATATACACATATACATATGCATATGTATATGCAGGTTTCATTGAAGACCAGAGAGTATTTCTTATTGACAATTTTCTTATTATTTTTCTCGATTCGGCGAATTAGGCTCTTGATAGGAAGTGAAAATCCAAATATCAGGTTTCCAAGGGACATTTTATTATAATTTTACGACGTTTCGAATGCAACTTCATTCATTATCAAGTAGAGGACGAGTTTTGCAACAAGTGAATTTGAAATTTTGAAATGACAATAGTACAAATTTCATTTCAAAATTTCAAATTCACTTGTTGCAAAACTCGTCCTCTACTTGATAATGAATGAAGTTGCATTCGAAACGTCGTAAAATTATAATAAAATGTCCCTTGGAAACCTGATATTTGGATTTTCACTTCCTATCAAGAGCCTAATTCGCCGAATCGAGAAAAAAATAATAAGAAAATTGTCAATAAGAAATACTCTCTGGTCTTCAATGAAACCTGCATTAAAGAACAGCTTCTGCCAAACTACGCAAATATGTATATGCATACACATATACATATGCATGTGTATGCATATACACATGCATACATATTTATGCATGGTGGCCCAGTGGTTAAAGTTCAGAGTACCAAGATTGGCGCAGAGAGGCGCGGGTTCGATCCCAGCTCTGTGCGCCAGTTTCTGGTCAGAATCGGCAAGGAGGCCGGGCGGTTAAGCATAGCAGAATTGTAGCAGTGAGTAGCGAGTTCGAGACCGCAAATTGCTGTGAATGTTCTGCGATGTTAAGAATCGGCGAAAGGCCTACGGCCTAATAACGCTGAAACCGCTATTATCTATTATATGTTCAACTTGGGTTTGATTTAAATATTGGTTCCTATTGAAAAATTTATCCCACATATTATATCATTTATTTTGGATTTTATGGCCCCCAAAAAATTGATATTTGTTTGTCGTGTGTTGACATGGTTATACATCATTCATGCGTTAATTCCTCCGAGAATTATAAGTTGCTCAGATATTCTAATCCGACCTCTAGGATACACACCGTCTGTGACGTACTGTCAGCTGTTTTGCTAGATGGAATGGCTCGCATCATCGCATGTTCCGGTTCCACACTCCACAGAATTTAATCATACAATTATTGCTATTTTAACTTCATGGCTTCACTCTGGAATTCACTTTTAGATTTTGGATCAATATGTCAGTGTATGGCTTCTACTGTGTGTAATTTTGTTGGTGAGTATCATAGACAGACTACAGACATTATAGACATAGTCATTACTCATTATGTCAGTGTCATTATGTCATACTGTCATAGACTAGTTATTTTTATAAATGTAGGTATATGCACGAAAAAAAAGTTTTTTTCTCTCTGAACGTAATGAAAATTATACATTTAAAAAGAAAAAAATCTTTTAAAAATACCATATAAATTTAAGTGGAGTGTAAAAAATTAGGCCTAATAAAAAAAATTTTCCCTACTAAGTACTAGGCTTAATAATGCCTTAATTCAATTGCATCCCAAAAATAGACTAATTTTTGGCACTCTTTTTGGAAAAACTTTAATTTCTACTGTTCCTATAAGTCAATTTCAATGATGTTAGCAAATTGTATAGGAAAACAATTACACAGATTTCAATTTCATAAGAGATCTTCTACATTCTCATGTAATTACTGGTTTTATGATTCCATTTTTAAATGAAAAACATTTCTGTTCAGTTTAAGAAAGATTATTCTTTTTATTGTCCTAATCATAAAGCATAGAAAAAGCAGAAAACACATAAATTGTTTGGTGTACTGCATTTGTCATAACTTCTTCCACAGGGCACAGACAGTGTCACTCTGCAAGCACAGGTGACTGAGGTGAGGAAAACATATACTCTGTGAGCCGCGTCTGGATTTTTTGAGTTGCAAACTAATGAATTTTTGAGCCGTAAATCTATTTCCCAAGCAGTGAAAAATGCCATTCTTGAACCGCAAACTCTTCATTTTTCAAGATCTTCATCTTTGACATAACATTCTTGCTGCTGTCGCAGTTTATTATATACAAGTATGACAAGAATGTGGTACTAAACTGCAGACCTGAGACCTAAATATTTTATGGAATGATAAATTCTATGATAAAGAGAAAAGGAGTCAAACCTACAAACTTACAAAGTTCAGGGAATGCTTGTTAAGGAGAAAATTGAAATTGCTTGTGCAATTTTCAATTTTTGCTGTTCTGGTTTTTAGTCTCATCTTAACACTTTCTCTCGGGCGGACATAGAAATACAATTAAATTGCAATATTTGATGATTGTACTTAAAAGTATGACCAATTCTAAGATATATTTACGGTATTATTGCAGATTAACTACATCCAAAAAAAAGGGTGTTTTTTTTTTTAATTATATGTTTTTTGGGGTCGGGGTGTAGATTACGAATCTGAAATCCATTTTTGGCGGTCGGCATCGGAAAACCGATTTTTTTCGCGACTTACTAACATGGGGGTTACGTAACTTACGTTACANCATCTACATCATCTACAATGAAAGAGGAGGACTTCAGAGTACTGTTAGTAATAGATGAGTACACTCTGCATGCTTCAAATGTTTGAAATTGAGTTTTATTTCAAGTGTCCCTTTTTACCCCATTTCAAGATTAATTCAGGAGCCTTTTATATTGCATCTAGCGCCTTACAAATAGCACATGGAATTTTTTTGAAGATGCCATTCAATAGCCCTCGTAAAGAGCTATAAAATGAACCTAAATTTGTTTCTGAAATGTTTCATGGTAAGAAGTTATTAACAAAAAACGCTCAAAACCGTCCCTTTTTACCCCATTTGACGGTACTGTTAGTAATGGATGAGTACGCTCTGCATGCTTCAAATGCTTTAAAATGAAGTTTTATTCCAAGTGTCCCGAGTAGCCCCGTCGAACGGGGCTACTTGGGACACTCTTTTTTTTGCTTCTGGCACCTTACGAATAGCATATGGAATTTTTTTGACAATGCCATTCAATAGCCCTTGCAAAGAGCTATAAAATGAGTCTAAACTTGTTTATGAAATGTTTCATGGTAAGAAGTTATTAACAAAAAACGCTCAAAACCATCCCGAGTAGCCCCGGTTGACGGTACCTCTGCTAAGGCCTGTAGCAAAAAAATATATTTGCTGTATTAGAAAATGATTCTTAGATAAAAGTTGGGCACATGTGTTGGCTTAAAAATGTGATCGATGGAAATTTTGCATATCGTTCCAAAGAAAATGGCGGCCATGTCCCAAAGAAAGGGTAAATGTGTTTTTTCCATAAATGAGAAAATGAGCTAAAAATGTTTATTTATTTATCTCACTCAGCAAAAAAATTTCACTTGACCAAAAATTAATGCATTATCGGTCATCACAAAATTGTGCATAGAATGTCATTAGAATTGTACACCAGGCAACATAGAATGAGAAATAATTAACCTAAACTATGATTTATTTCTCCAAAAAATATGATGATTGTCACTAAAATGTTCCTTTCTGTTTCAGGTATGTTTTTACAATATAGGTACATATACCTATATTTTTTTATAGTGAATTCACTTGACCTAATTAAATGGTGTGAAATTACAAGCTTTTTTGTAAGCTTATAGATACAGAAGAAATGCTATACGGCTGCTGATATGAAGCTTGCAGTGGACAAGGACATTGTAAATGCTGAATGGCATGTCCATGGATACAGTTATATCACTCCAATAATGCAGTAATGTATGGATATGGTAATAATATATGGATATGGTAATATCATATCATGTGAAAAGTGAGATTTTCAAAGATTACCTCTGCTGTGGTCTGTAGCAAAAAAAAAAATTATTCACCATATTAGAAAATTTTACTCACATAAAAGTTGCTCACAGGTGTTGGGCTAAAAATGTGATTGACTTTATAAGTGTGTCTCATTCCAAAAAAAAAGTGGCACTCTTTCCGCATGACGGGGTAATAAGGGACACCCTTAAAAATGCATTTACAGTATAACCTCAGTTAGCAAAGGCTCCAGTTAACAAAAGAATTGATTAACAACAAAGAATTTTGATTACATTTACCTTGCTTGGCAAAAAAAATTCACTTATCAAAAAATTAGTGAATCACTCTTTCCGCATGACGGGGTAATAAGGGACACCTCCCCCCCCCAGGGTAATAAGGGACACCCCTTAAAACACATTTACAGTAGAGCCTTGGTTAGCAAAGGCTCCAGTTAACAAAAAAAATAATTAACAGGGCAAAGAATTTTGATTAGATTTACCTCACTCAGCAAAAATATTTCACCTGACAAAAAATTAGTGCATCATCGGTCATCACCAAACTGTGCATAGAATGTCATAGATAGAATCGTTCACCAGGCAACATAGAATGAAATGTAATTAAACTAAACTATGATATTTTTCTCAAAAAGTGTTATGGTTGTCAATAAAATATTACTTTGTGTTTCAGGTATGTTTTTTACAATATTTTTTTGTTATAATGAATTCACTTGACTCAATTAAAATGGTGCAAAATTACAAGCTGTCCTGTAAGCTTACCTACAGAATAAATGCTCAATGGCATGTCCATGGATACAGTAATATCACATCAATAATATGGTAATGTATGGATAAGATAATATCATATCAATAAAGGAAAAACAATGAAAAATCACAGAAAATGTCATTTATTCTACATTTACATCATCTACAAAGGAAGAGGAAGACTTCAGAGTACTGTTAGTAATGGATCAGCACACTCTGCATGCTTCAAACGTTTTAAAATTTAGTTTTATTTCAAGTGTCCCTTATTACCCTGTTCCCAGGGTTGGTTCAGGAGTTGTTTATTTTGCATCTGGCATCTTATGAATAGCATATGGAATTATTTCAGAGATGCCATATGATAGCCCTCGCAAAGAGCTTTAAAATGAGCTCAAACTCGTTTATGAAATGATTCATAGTAAGAAGTTATTAACAAAAAATGCACAAAATCATCCTTTATCACCTTGGTTTGATGGTACTGCTACTTTCATTATATCTTCTAAAATTGGAAAGAAACTGTTTTATATAAAATATTTACACCATATGAAAGTGTTTAGATGGAAATTTCCCAAGTAAAAAATTTGGGTGGTAATGGGTTTTATATCTCTGCTTGACAATTCTTTTGATTGTCATTAACTTTATGCCTCCAATATCACTGTGAATCAGACTGCTATTTTGGTGGTTTCACCAAATAATTTTTCCACACTGGTTGAAAGTTTTCATTTTTATATCTCAATAATCATATTCAATAATTTTTTTGTATTTCAGGCTGCCAGCTGGACATGTTATACTTGGGCTGGGTGACATCTCTGCTCTACCCAGCAATTCTAACTATCTTCATCCTGCCATTCTTCATTCTCTTCTTCTTGTATTTTAGCTCCCTAATTCTCTACATCTACACATACCGGTGAGCTACAAGTAATGAATAAGTAGCTTTGAATAATTGGGAATTTTCCTCCTTCAATGCACTTTGGGCATAATTTAATTGACGTTAAAATTCATTGTAGAGATAAATTTCTTTGTATAGTATGTACATGTATGTGTTGTAGAAGTATAGAAAAGTGGATTTAAAAGAATTGTGATCAGTTATATCATTTTCATCTTTTGTGTTCTTGAAAAATTTATAAAATTTGAAGAAAATCTAAAATTTATGAAACCTTTTGGAGAATTTCATTGTCTGGCACTAACTTTGACTCCTGGTGTTGGTACTTCCTGCAAATTTTGTGGAGACTGTCTGCGCAGGTGGCGCCAAGTGAAGGAAGTTCTACAGGAAGGACTGCATGACCCCTGGGCTGGTGGACGATACCTCATTTCTGTGCTATGGGACGCTCATGGCTACATATGGCATGGTGAGCATCCTTCAATAAGTGCATCTCATAAAGTGTAGAGTTGTTTATGAGGAGTGTTTTGCCAGCCTTGGCGTTGAGAGTTGCCTTCAAAATGTGCCTGGCGTCTCATGAGGTGCGAAGTTACTTGTAGGGATTATGAGTAAGTGCACCTGTCGCTCAAAACCAGTAATGGTATTTTGTGAATATGTGAATTTATTGGCTGCAAAATTTAAAAAGACTTTGTTCTTCTGTGACACTAATGCAGAAGATCTTTAGTATGCCTTGAAACCACTACTGATAAGTATTCCTGTGCAGGATATGAAGTGCAAGGCATTGAAAACGTCCCAGTAGACAGAGGTGCACTAATAGTTTACTACCATGGTGCCATCCCTGTCGATATCTATTACTTTGTTGCTCGCTTCATCACCAGCACTGGCAGACATGTTCACTGCGTCGGCGACCGCTTCCTTCAGAAGATTCCAGGTGCATAATTTGTATTCTTTTTCTGCTTGGATCAGTCAGTAATGCAGATAATTATGAGACCAATACAGAGATCTTGTATCTTTAATTTTGAATATGCCTGTGCATACATTCCACATGTCTAAAATAGTAGTACGTATACTACACTTTATCAATGAGACTATTCCGGTTGAATGTGCTACATACATACAGTATATGAATATGTGATTCAGTTTTAACTTGGCACCGAGTGGCTAATTCTTTCACATTAAATGATACTCTTCTAAAATATTTTAAAATAACATGTCAGACCTTCATTCAAATAGGAATTGCAGTTTGACTTGCTAGTCGCTTCTATTTGCCCTACAACCTCTTCTTATTGATTCCACTTTAAAATATTATTTTCACACAATTTTTGTCTGCAGGAAAAAATTCACTTTGTCGATGTAAGGTTAACTGTGCTTCGTAATGGTAAAGCTTTGTTAATCGAGCTATGCAGGCTTAGGCAGATGTAGGTACAAAAAATGGTGGAAAATTTATGCTCATTTCTTACTGTTTGCTGTTTTTGAGTTCATCTCTGGGCTGTTTCTTACTCGCGAACATATGCCATTTGAGGCACCTGTTTGTCATGGAACTTATTGGTAGCTTTATTTGACAGCCAAAGGTCTTGTGTTGGCCAGGCTGGCAGTCCATACTGGAAGCCTTCCTCCCCCTTAACAGCCAAAGGTCTTGTATTGGCCAGGCTGGCACTCCATCTGGAAGCCTTCCTCCCCCTTAACAGCCAAAGGTCTTGTATTGGCCAGGCTGGCACTCCATACTGGAAGCCTTCCTCCCCCTTAACAGCCAAGGCTCTTGTATTGGCCAGCTAGGCTGACACCCTATACTGGAAGCCTTCCTCCCCCTTAACAGCCAAGGCTCTTGTATTGGCCAGCTAGGCTGACACTCTATACTGGAAGCCTTCCTCCCCCTTAACAGCCAAAGCTCTTGTGTTTTTAGGCTGGCACTCCATACTGGAAGCCTTCCTCCCCTTAACAACCGTGGCTCGTGTGTTCCCAGGCTGCACTCCATACTGGAAGTCTTCCTCCCCTTAACAACCGTGGCTCGTGTGTTCCCAGGCTGGCACTCCATACTGGAAGCCTTCCGGATCTCGCCGAGCTCGGTGTCTGACTGCGTGCGCATCGTGCGCGCCGGCCACTTGCTGGCCATCAGTCCTGGCGGCGTGAGGGAGGCGCAGTTTTCCGACCACAGCTACCCGCTCCTCTGGGGCTGCAGGAAAGGCTTCGCTAAAGTCGCCATCGAAGCAAATTGCGTGAGTAAATTAATGACAAAGTTGTCTACAATGGACCATCCTTCTCGGTGCTGATTCTCTTCTTAAGATATTGTTTTGTGATATTTGGGAAGTTAATGTTCTGAGCTCACAAATTCAAAACTTTTCCTAGTCGTCTTGCTAGCAATTTGGCCAGTACTTGCATCAGTGTCAGACTCTTATTACACTCTTCATCAATTGTGGATACCACCCAATACCAGTCATTAATGAAGATCTATGTGCCTTCATATCCTGAACAATACCGGCCACATAATTTTTTGTGTTTCAAATCTTATTACACGTTTGTTGCATGTCACTCATGTCAGTTCTCTATGAAATTTGCCTTCTAAGTATAAATCTCTGTATTTACCGAGTTCAATAATCTTACCTGTGGTAAATTAAACTTGTTTCCACATTCAGATTTTCTATTATACAACGCTGCTTCTCTCGATTCCCGGTAATCTGAACATTAAGCGAAGTAGGATTATTTAGAAGTAAACTTTATTTATTTTTCATTTTTGTAGTATAATTTTAACATGCTTGCCGGCATAACATGATGCTTCCCACAGCCCATCATCCCGATGTTCACCCGCAACGTGCGCGAGGCGTTCCGTGTGATGAATTTCCCAAGCGCTCTCTTCAGCGCCCTCTACAGGCGCTTCAAGCTCCCCTTCGCCCCCATCTACGGGGGCTTTCCTGTCAAGGTGACGACACCCTTTTATAACTAAGATAATTGTATTTCACATCACTCGATTTAAACACCAATAAAATACTACGATATATGAAATGAGGATTCGGAAATTGCTTCCGCTCAGCGGCAGCAATAAACTTTCGAGGCCATATATGCGTAAGTTGAAGCTTCTTCCCAGACTGTTGCAGATTTACTTAGAGCTCGTAATTATGATGTTTTTTTTGGAGAGGTTCAGGCTAGGGTTCACTGGAACAGAGAATGGTTAGGAAAAAGTGATAGTGGAATGTTTACTGTAATGAAATGTTCATTTTCCTGATCCCTGGATTCAGCTTTGATCAAACTATCCTGACTGATCGTAAAATCGCATTTTTGTGGTTTCGCAAATATCCAGAATTTCATGTTGAGGCAGGACTTGCGTGCGGTTGTCGAATTAGTCGTCTGCATAAATCTGAGAAATTAAAAGATACTGAGAATTTTGTGTTTGATCAAATGGTGAGAGCCTTGTGACTGGTTGATGGTGAGAACTTAGTGGCTGGTCATATACGTAATGGGGTACTTTGTCTTATTAGATCAATAGGTGAGCATTTTGTGTTACACAATTGATGAGACTTTTTTAGCAAAAGGTGAGATTATGTTGGTTGTGCAGATAATGAGATTATTTTGGTTGTGCAGATGGTAAGCTACCTCGGCCCGTGCGTGTACCCACTGCCTGACGAGAGCGACGAGCAGCTGGCGCAGCGCGTGGAGCGCGCCGTGCGCAGCCTCATCGTGCAGCACCAGCGCCTACCCGGCAACATCCTCGCCGCGCTCCTGGACCGCATCCACCCCAGCCTAGCACGCTCCCTGCTTGGTGCTGGGACTCCTCCCCCTCACATAGCTGAGGCGCCTCCCACTCACTCCGCCGAGGCTCCTCCCTCTCATACCGCCGAGGCTCCTCCCTTTCATACCGCCGAGGCTCCCACTCATACCGCCGAGGCTCCCACTCATACCGCCGAGGCTCCTCCCTCTCATACCGCCGAGGCTCCTCACTCTCATACCGCCGAGGCTCCTCCCTCTCATACCGCCGAGGCTCCTCCCACTCATACCGCCGAGGCTCCTCCCACTCATACCGCCGAGGCTCCTCCCACTCATACCGCCGAGGCTCCTCCTTCTCGCACCGCCCACGAACATAAAAGTAAACCTGGCCACAAGGATGAGGTTGTGGAAAATGCTAATAAGGCTGATGAATATGCTAGACTTGGAGGCGATGTTGGCTCTGATTCGACTCTCGATGCTGCCACTGATGACGATGATGTTAGTGATGTTGATAGTAATCATGAAACGGCCATCGAGCGTGAAATTATTTCCAGTGAAACGTATCAAACTGAAAAGAATACCGCTGATAAATCATCAAACTTACTACATCTGTCTAGAAAACAAAGTGAGAAAGAAAAAATTACTGGTGAGTCTGAGCTGATAACTGCAATAAGCAGCGGTGTTCCTGAGAGTAGCGATGACGCTGCTCGCTCATATTCCAGGCAATCAAACCCACAGCGATCACCCCTTATCGCAGCAATCGGCGACGTTCCAGAGGAAGAATTTCAGAATAAATCAAATAATCCCCAATCACAAGACGGAATTAGAAGAAGAAAGAACAAACGAACCCCGAACCCAAGTGTTGTTCTAGGACATCGTACTGATGAACCTCAACAAGCTACAGGTACTAGTGAACCAATTGCAGAAGAGAGTCAAGGCAATAGTGAGGAACAAGTTCAACGTTTTCCACCTCATGAAACTCTGGGGTGTGACCTGCGACAAAAAACCAGTTGCGAAACATCTGATAGTGAAATTGATAGATTAGTCTTCGAGAAGGAAGCACCAAGCGAAACTTATTACACAGAACAAAAATCGAGTACTGGTGCTGCGCCTGGAGGAAGCTGGGGAAACGAAGCCAGTGAAGCTCCAAGATATGGTGGTGAAGCTATTGACTTTCCATGTTCAGAAGTGTCGACTTCTAATCTTCATGATAAAAAAATGTCCACTGTATTGCTTGGAACGCAGTCTGTATCGTCTGAAGCCTCCACGGTTTGCGACGACCTTGAAGGTGCGACTAATTTTGAAAAAGCTGAAATATCTTCTCCCACGCCTACATGCTCTTCCCCTGAACTGTTATCATCCAAAGAAACTCCGCGTCCCACTGAGCATCTCGAGGCCGCGCGACACGACGATCATTTTAGTCTCAGTGCTGACGAAGTTGTAGATCAAAAACCTGCCCAGAAGGCCGCCGAAGATTTAAGTTTCTCTGAGAACGGCAAAGCGTCTCTGGCAGCAGAGGTGCAGCTCGGCACGGCAGCCAGCAGCGACAGCGACAGCAGCAGCGGCAGCAGCTTCGAGATCGTTGACTCTAACAAGCCAAAGTTATGAGTGCAGGATTGTGATTTTAATGTTGATTAATCCAGTGATTTGGTAACAAATCCCATTTCAAGTGATATAGCAGATTTTATTGTTTTGCTTACAATGATTTGATATCAAAGTCAACATGAACTTATTGTTTCATTGAATAATTTTTATTTTGAAAGCTTTCGCTGTGATATAGATGTCTAACTTATGAATTGCTTGCCGGAAAATCAATTTATTAAGCCTGCGGTTCATTATTTAAACGATCAAATATTTGTTGGAGTTTAATGTCAGTAATGTCAGCCTGGTCAGTATTAGCTTTTACTTGTCTAGATTGGCTTTCTCTGTCATAACAGGAAGTGTATGCAAAAATTACTAGAATCTGAAACCCCCAAGTCGTGATATTGTTGGGTGGCTAAACGTTGCGAGGCTGGAAATTTCTACTGCCTGACTCTGAAAACACGATGCAGGATCAGGAAATGCGACATGTTAGTAAATCCGAATTGTGATCAATTACTTTATCTGATCAATTACTTTATTTTCGTGATCTCAGGCTGTATCTATTTGATAAACTCTTGTGTAAAATTTATCCAAGTGAAGAACAACATTGTCCTCAAAATGTGCTAACAAAGTTAGGCTCGCAATGCACTGCTCTCGCAGAGATTCATGCCTTGTGCTGGAGTTTGCCTTCGTTCAAGGCTTAATGTGCACGAGGACATCGGCCGTCGCTAATTAGAATCTATTCCTGATCTGCATGTTGCCTCTGAGTATCACAAAGTGTAATAAGCAGAGCACATCGTTAAGTACGTAGTCCATGGTGGTATTTCTTATACTTATCCTCTGCAATCAACTCTCACAACGCATTTCAAGAAATATTTATTGTGTTCCTAATCCAGACTTTATTTGTGCAGACATTTGTGATGAACTTCAAGCGTTAAGCTATGCTCCACCTCGTGTCTAATTCGCAGCTTGCGACGTCAGCGTCCAATCGTCTTATTATATTCATTTGTTTCTAAGACCAACAATTTTGACGTTGTAATTAGAAATGATCTTGAAGTTTTAATTTATATGTTTCTTCACAAATTTAAATTAATAATCTGCATGTATCTAGGAATGCTGTTATCTTTTTCTGGCTTGGTAATTTCAAAATATTCCAACACAAGAAATTGTTAGATCTGCTTTAATTTTGTATCTCATTCTGTTGCTGATCGTGTCTCGTTCTGTCAGGAATGTCGCAAGCAGTAATTTCTTGACCGTGACGATGACTTTTAGCGTGGACGAAATTGCACGTGATTTCTTTTAATAGATGAATGAAATGACGCTTAGGAGTTATTTTGCAGTGATGGAGGCGTGTCGTGTGTTGATATCGATGACCTGCTTGTTCAATGTGCCCGTTTGAGCGGAAATAGTGAACAAAACATAATCCTTGGCCTCGCCCTGATTCAGACGGTGAGCTTTAACACTTTTGATTGGGGCCTTACTTGGTAAAACCCAAACGAGAGGTTTTTGGATTCGCGTCTCTAATTTTACTATGTAACGGATCGGGCAACAACGCCCAGAAAATTTTACTCTGAAACGCGGCAGCTGTTTTTTTTTTAATTTGTTGCAATGGCCGCTGATCATCACCGACTGCTCTGAAACTTTGCACGCCACTTGGGGACGTCTGCGTGCACATGAAAGAACGTTTGAGCCAAATCCGTAAATTTTTTTCAGTAATTATAACTGAAAATCCTTGAAAGTTTGGGTTTTGCCTTCTACCTATTGAACTACTTGGTCTAGTACTCCAAATTTCTGTTTTTAAGATAATTGGACCATGGGCTACAGGTTCGTCACGAGTAATTTTCATGGTAAAACCGATATTTAAAAACTAAAAAATGTATTATGTAAAAAGTTCCATAACTAGTGAAGGACTCAAAAAATTGTATCAGGCATGACGAAAGAAAATAATCCCTGGGGTCTCATGCTTTCACAAGCGAAATTTCTCTAATCGAAACATACGTAGGTTATTTAGAATAAAAGCAAATAAATCCAAAATATCTCCTAGTTCCTATATAAAATAGTGATCGAGTTGAGCATTTTGAGATGAATTGGTGCACATTCTTTCCACGGGTAAAGGCATCGGGAGTTCACATGTCTGTTTATCAAATTGTGTGACTACTACATTTTACACGCTATAGAAGAAACGAGATTGACTCAACATTAGGTCAGAATGAGTAGGGTTTCCAGGACGCCAAGGTTTTTGAGCCTCATGTATTCCCAGTGAGAATCCTGATGGCAGAAGTACAACGGTGACTTGAGATCGCCTATGGATGTATTATTGTTTTCGATTAAAATGAATATGTCAACGACATGGAGTTGTATAATTTGTGGACAATTTGAAGATTATCTACTTATACTAAAGCTTGTGGAGCTTCATCATTCATATTCACGAGGAATGTGAATACGAATTGTCAGTTGTCATAATTTCCCAGTTGTTCGTATCTTGTAGCGACGGTGACGCGTTTTAACGCTGTCTTAGGGTGCGCACACAGTGGAAGCAGGTTGCCAGCGTGCTGGTTACATGCTCAGGCTGGCGCCTGAAACCATAGAATACAGAAGCCTATTCGTACAGGTTTTCACTGTGAACACTTACATTATTATCCTATGTTCATTCTTGTGGCAGGTTTGAGCAGGTTGCCCGCGCGGGCAAACCTGCTTTCACTGTGTGCGTACCCTTAGGGTAGGCTACGTTAGGTTAGGTTCTGTTATGTTGAGTTATGTCAGGTTTGGTTTGGTTAGGTTAGTTTAGGGTAGGGTAGGCTGGGTCAGTATGAGGTTAGTGTGTGTAGTTAATGATGCAGTTTAGATTGGTGGGAGAGTTATTTGTGTATTTTGTGCAAAGGGGTTTATTTCTTCCAATATTTTATGTTGTATGGTATTGGAGTTTTGCTGTATGCGTATATAGATTTGTTAATAGAATATATGTGAGTGTTGTTTTAAGATATGCACGGGCGTGCATTCATATTTGTGGATTAGGTTTTTTTTTTGTTCTGTCTTCTTATATGTATTGAATGTATTGTATTGTATAATGTTGATAATTAGTGCGAATGGGAGCATGTGTGTATGCGGTTGTTTCCAGCTGTCACCTACTTGTGCCTGTAGTTCCTCCACTCAGTCCACTGTTTCCTGGAACTGGATTGCGTACCTGCAGCGTCTTGCTTCATTAGCGTCTCTTTCTTGCTTCATGAGCGTCTCTTTTCGTTGAAGTTAAGACCCCGCAGCTAGATTTTTAGTGTATTTGTCTCCTCTGAAAGAGAGTCGTGTAAGTCTGTAGTGTGTAGGCCAACACAAGTCGTGAGACCGTGGCACCAGTTCGCCTTCTCACGTCACTGTCGAAGTTAGCTCATGGAGGTAAATACTTTGAAATGCGTTCTAGTATGATTTTCTTATACATGTTATGATTGCGTGTGAAACTCTTATTCTTATATGTGGAGCTTCATCTATGAAATATGTAGTACCAACATTATTCATTTGGTTATATATTATATACTATATCTTCACACTTATATACGTGATGTCTAAGCTGAATACAATTATTAGGTACCTTAAGCATAATACTGTAATGATATGTCAGTCGTGCATCATCAACGACATGGAGTTGTATGGTTTGTGGACATTTTAAAGCTTATCTAGTTGTACTAGAGAACGTCGCAGTCTGACGACAACACTGCTCATGCGTGAAACAGCGGCGTTTCGTCATAAGTTGTTGTTGTTGTTGTTGTAATTGCCCATCCTGGTGGTGGCGACTAGGCACTCGGTTTTTCCGGGCACTCGGTACCACTGGTAGTTCTACGACCATCACTGGCTCGCTGACCCGCCAGAACCATTTTATTGCATTACACAACACCCTGGACAAGCCAGGTATGTACTCATTTATCAACCAGAGTCATAAGTCGCGTACGTATGTCGCGTCGACATCTGAGTCAAGATTTTGACCAAATTTTGCGTGGAATTTATTTGCGTCCAGTTTCGATGCATATGGCTGTTGGGTTTACACTATTTTTTTGACGATTTTGCAGTTTTTAGCGTCTCCCTAAGTGGTAGCCTTGAAAATATTTTCCATTTTATTTCAATTGACGGCGGTTTTCTCACGTCACTGTTGCATTCCATTCTGCCTCAAACGTAAAATGACGAGGTAACTGAATGAATAAACCTCGTATGCTATAGAGTGATAAACAACAAGAAAATTACTATCAAAGTATATAAATATTTATTGAAATCTGTTAGCATTTACAGACTGTTAAGAGTTTTGTTAAACCTATACAGGCTGGCTGGGTTCACCTATTTTATTACGAATAAATTTCTAGTTTTTCTTCGTTCGTTTGTAATTACGTTGATTTGCCTCTAAAAGTGTCTTTTTTTGCTGAGCTTTCACCCTTTATTTTCCAGTTTTCCATCGTAGCCTAATTCATTGCATTTAATCCGTGAAAAAATGGGTCGAAGCGGCTCAGGAAAACAGATTTCATTTTACTTTGTGTGCATTATGGCCTTATTACTTGCTGGACTTTGAGACCATCATTACTTAAACTTGACTATACTTGACTAGATAATGAATACCAAACCCCGGCGCTGCAGCACAGCTACTCACTTCAACAAGTCGGTGCAACAAAAGAGAATGTACGTACCTATTGAACTCATATGTTGCAATATAACTCATTTACCCTGGCTTATGAATAAATTTAGGCAAGCGTTCAAGGGACTCGTGGCGCTGTCTGATCTATAACAAATTGGTGGATTCTCCAGCCTTCATTCAAGCCTCCATGGCTTCATATTTCTTCAAGTCATTTATGTTTTCTACTTCCACCTCAATTTATTTCGCATGCGTTAGTGTGATTTTGAGATTTCACTTGTGTTTTATTGTTGAATTAGTGCGCACTTGAATTAAAGCATTCCTCAAGTGTGTTACACAAGATAAATTCAGCGCTTTACCAGCATTGAAACAACGTACATTATGACTACAAATATTCCAAGTTTGCATTTATATTGTGTGTTGCAAGGTTGTGGTTTAACTCCCTCTCTCTTGAGCTTTTAGAGCGCATTTACCGAAGCACATTCCTGCCTTCTGCATGTCTTTATTTCTGGCAATGGTTGTTCTGGATGCCTGCATGCAGCTGCTGCTCGTTGCACCTGGAAAATGTCTATCATTTTCATGTGAAGCTTTGCCTGTTCTTCGAGTTAGGACTCGGATGCCTCCTTGTGAGGAAACTCAGCTTATGTTTTACTTGTGCATAGAAATTAATTGAGCGTTTGATGAACTTTTTTTTATTTCGTGTCCTGTTTGCTATCATGAATTTGCTGATAAGTAAATTGATCAAGAGACGCCTATATACAGGTTTATCTTGTACATTGCCATGCTACTGACCAGATATTCGGTGCAATTTTATCTTTGTTCTACGTTTGTACATCGAGGATACAAACGATCATTGACTCCTTAATTAAATATCGGAATAAGTTGCCTTACCTATAATTGACTAGACCTTTATGTACAATTTATCGCCATATCAACAGTAAATTGCGTTAGCATGTGTGAAAGCGAAGCAATACTTGTTCTTGTCTTGCCTCGGTGGCTCTGTTCATAGATTTATTTATTGTTAGGTTTCGTGTATATTCGTGTTTCTGTTGAGTTATTCAGTTTGAAATATTAGATCATTTTACTAGTGGTTCGAGTGATGTCTTTATTCTTGGAAATCTTTGTGCTTGCCGAACTGTTGTTCGCATCTTAACCGAGTCGTGTCCCATCAATATATATTATCTATTACAAATTTATTACTTGCTTTGCCTTCTTACCCTGAGAATAAAGTGCTAATAATATGGCCACACTTCTTCAAGATTTAGTGAGGAGGCTGTACAAGCTTGGCGAAAGAGTATTAGCTTTTATCTTGGAGGATCTTTAAAATTAATCGGTAAATTGTGGTTTCAGAACTTGTAAGAGACGTTGTCTGGAAGAAATTGTGTTTTACTAAAAAAAACTAAAAAAATTAGCTGCTTATTGAACGGTTCGCAAATGAAATATATAGTGGCTAAATAGACGTATTTGCGTGACTGAAACGTTGACCGGCTCTTACAACAGGATAAAAAAACATCATTGGATTATAAAAGATAATTATCATAATTCATACATACAACAGTGCTGTCACATTCCGGGTTACGACAAATTGGAACTACGTATAGCACTTCCGAGCGTCTTCCTGTGAAACGATCTTGATGTTAAGGATGAACTTAGTTTTTTTTTAAAGTGGCTTTGCGTGTACATGGCACCTTGCTAATGCCGTCGTGTTTTTCCATAGGGACAACGGTTATAGATTCACTTCATTCGGGGTGAGTAAAGAACAATGAAGAATTGTTACGACACATGTCAGCATCGAGGAGCCATTTGTTCCAGCCGAATCATCTGGAATAATGGGGCTAAGATAACCATTTTAAAACTATGTACACACACCAGTCACTGAACCGTTAAAACTTACGAAATGTGATTAATTAGCTTCACAATCAGGTTCAACTGCTGAACGCAATTGATGTCGCCAATAAACCGACTTACAAACGTAATCGACTCTGCCGTAATTGTATGCTAAAATCACATGCGAACAATACTCGAGTATGTCGCCTGATATTAACAATTTTTCCAACGCGGATGGCGACTTCAAGAATGTCGCGATTAATACGCCGAACAGCCGAAGCATACACGCGTTTAAATTATAATTTTGTGTGGACGTGACTCGTCTTCTGTTGTCCCTAGCATATGTGCAGCCGATTCCAATATCTGTGTTCAAGGTATCTAAAGGTCAGTAACCCGCGAGTAAAATTTTTGTTTCTTGCAAATTTTGGATCTATTCTTGGTCATCTGCATAATCACGAAAATTTGCGTGATCATTTCCAGAGCTGTTGTGATCCAGTTACGTCCTTGATCCATGCTTGTATTCATTTAACGCGCACCTTTCTTGCAACTCGTCCTTTGATGAGCTGCAATTAATAGGAACAAGAAATTAAGCGTTTGTGCTGTCATATTCCTTGTACAATTGTTCCCCACTCTGGCATCTTGCCATGAAATTCTTAGATCCATATAGCCAAATCTCACTGCCCGACCTCTCGTCACAGAACGTGGATGTTCCGGTGCTTATACTACAAGAGAAAAATTTTCAGCCGATAAAATTAGCGACAAGTACTTAACCTTCTAGCTCTGCCGGCTGAAAGCTTATACATTAGAAAAATATTAACTTGACAGTACTTTCTCATCTGCAAGCGCTAGTCACTAGAGCGTCGTTAGAAGCCTTCGAGTGAAGTTTGTGCACAGGGGAAGAATTCAGAA